TTGTGGACGGTAGTTGCAGACAGACGCGTTGGCGACGGTATATGTCCGCTATTGAAGAGGTGTCCCTCAGTTCTGTAGGTGATGGGGATCCCAAGACGTTCATCGCGTTAGGCATCCATCAGCATGACAGCGAACATGAGCCTGAAGAGGGTGAAAGTGAGTACACAGCCCTGCTTCACTCCATTAGTCACTACAAACGCTTAGAATGTCGATCGGTTTACAGTGACGCGCGCCATCATCCCGTCGTGGACCTGACGTACCATGTGCGTGAACCGATCAGGACAGTCCAGTTTCCCTGTGATTTTCCAAAGGCAATCAGGATTCACCATGTCAACAGCTTTCGTCAGATCCACAAAGGTCATATAGAGGCACTTCTCTTATAGTTGGCAATCAGCGAAAATCATGTCGATTATTCCGCGTTGTCATCGGAAGCCACATTAACTTTCCGGGGCAGTCTCTGCTCTAGGTGGCCATTCATATGGTTAGGAAGAACATATGTGAAGATCTTGCCGGTAATTTTGAGCAGCGAGATGTATTTGTGGTTATCACAGGGTAGCCGGTTCCTTTTCCGCTTGTAGAGAGGAATGATTCCATTATTCGCTGGCCGTCTTCGTTGTAGATTTTAACTGGGAACGCATCGAAGCCTGGTGTTTTTCGGTTGGAGAGTTAACGCACGGAGCAGATGGTTTCTGGAAGGAAGGGCAGGAGATCCAAGTAGATGTTAATTTTCGCTTGAGGAGCCGATTGATAGGGGATGGTTGATGGACAGTTGATGACACGTAAAGTGCGCGGCTCAGCGCTTCGGAATTTACGACTTCTTCTTTAGAAGGGTTGTTTCGTCCGTCCTGAGAAATGGGGCGGTACCTTAGAGTGGAGGGCCGTATATGGGCTTGACCATTGCAAAGAAATTTTTGATTTGTTATGGTCTGCATATTCTTGAATTTCCACGGTCTTGTGAATAATCTAGGAGTCCTGCATTTCCCGCAGCTGTCGTTAAAAAGTTCAGCAAAATCAGTAGAAGGGCGGCCAGTGTATGGTCTGCGCAGCCTGTTCTTTTCGGCGAACAGGTTCCTGGTGGCTGCATCGTCTTTTACAAACTAGACCGAGTGGTGACGACAAGCGCTTTAGAGGACCTCTCGGGCGTTCGAATGGACGGCGTCCCGCAGTTCCAAACTGAAACTTTCACGTAAGCGTTTTAAGCTAGAGCTTGCAGACCTTTTAGTCGATGAGCCAGTTATTTTGTGAAATGGAGACGGAGAAAAGGTAAATTGAACAAAATAGTGGCCTTTTTTTACCTTCATTTTCCCCAGAAGAGGAAGAAGAAGTGGAGGCGATT